ATACGTACTAGCTATAATAATAATACACAGGCAAGACGATCGAGAGTCCGCACCAATTTCACCCACCTTCTAGCCACTCTCGAGTGCTCATTTATCCAAGTGTAGATAAAGTTTTGCTTTATAGCTCTTCAGGCACCGCGAATCAGAGTGGGTACAGTTTTCTGTTCAGCTAAGTTTCAGTTCTAAAGCAGTCAGCTCGTTGTCCTATGCACGTGTTTTTTACCATCTTAAACGGACTGCTGTCCTTTATTATTGAAAATTTAATTGTTACTTTAGTGTTACGTATCTGAGCTGAGGATTTTAGATCTAATGTTGAGTTCTCTTTGTCAGAAAAGTTAATTTACTCATTTTCAATACAAAAAGATAAATAAGGGGATCGCTCGCTCTTGATTTGGTATATCAATTTAATAATTTTCAGTGCTGACATTAAAGAATGTCACAATCTTTGTAGCTCATGTTTTTTTGAAAAGGCTGTGTCTGCCTATGCCTTCCCTATCGATTGACTGCATATCATTATTGCAAGTTATAAATTGCCACGCTAATAAAAATTCAGAGATTTCACCTCATCCAACTATTGTCAATGATGTCTCCTTGTATTCCCATAACTTTTATAGATAACTTTATGAAATTGTTGTATGTGACGTTTTTTTAAAAATTTATTTATTATTCAAACCTAGCTGTGCATTTTTTGGATGCTCTACTGAGACCAGCTTTGAAGCTTTGGCTAGACAAGAAAATATATACAGTGGAAAGGTTAATACAGACATGTTATGATATCTATATTATCGGGGTGTCCATATTAAGTTAGCTCTCTGGAAAAAAGTGACAGACATGTGATTTATTTTATATATAGCATAAAGGAACAAGGAGGAAGAAGGGTCGCAACAATGACTGTAGCAAAAAGCCAAGGACGTGAAACTTGTTGAGCAGGAGGCAGAAAATTTATCAAAGGACTACAAACAGGGGAAGAAAGAAAGATGTATCAAAGTCAAATGTGTCATGCTATTTGGCTGCAGATGTTTTGGTAATAAAATCTTATTAACCCGTGAACTTGGTACAATGTCTACAATTGGCACATCATTGTGACAAGAAAAATAGAAAGTGCCTGGGTAACCAGTGTCTGTAAAGCTGGATTAAGAATATATAGGAATTTCTGACTTGAAACACAGAAAAGTGGTTGTTGTCCACATTAACTACTGTGCTAACTACTGTGCGTACTAAGCCGGTTAATTTTAAAGAAAAAATCTATGCTTTTCCTCAGGACAAACAAAACTGCCTGTTATATATGGGTGTCCAATTAAGTGGGTGTCTGTAGATCATAGAGTACTGGGTTATCACTGCATTAATAAATTATTATTTGCAACTAACGTTATGTATTGAAAAACTAAATGGTTCAGTACATCACTAGGTTGCACGATTCTGCTGATAACACAGTGTGCCATAAATTCACTGCCTCTAGGAAGAAGTGTTACACAGTGGAAATTATGTTTATCATGGAGGCCCATCCTTGATTGTGCTCTGTGGGTTTTTCTTGCTGGTTTTTTCCATTGTAAAATATTATTAGAAACTAGCATTTTTAAGAGTTAAAACCCCTAAGAGGGCCTGGGAAGCAGTTTTTAATGTGCGCGGGCCGGTGACCACCTACATTGAGGTGAGGGGGGGGGGGGGGAGAGCAAATTTGGCTGTTCTCTCTTTGTGGCTGTTTAGAACTGTCAGATTACTGAACCTTTCTTGAGTCATTGTTGAGCAGTCATGTTCATAGATTTCAAGCCGCTGAAAAGTACCTTTCTCCTGCTGAGGGTGATTGCACATGCTGAATCCACCACTAGAAGTTTGCAGATCATGATATTACACTGTAGGTTCCTGTAATGCCTTCAATTTGTCTAGCATGTCATTGAAATGTGCCAGAGACCACATCATCACCTGATATAATTCGTTTTAAGAAACCGTAGTTCATGGAGTAGTCTTCAGATTTAATCAAGAACCTTCATCAAAAAAGACTATTCTGCATTGTTGCAAATGCTACATAGCTTTGCTGGTTTGAAAATGCAGAAATCTAGGACGATTGACTTTTTAAGGCTTACCACGCATCAGACTGATGGGATCAAAACGGACCAATAATAAATTTAGATGCTGGAAGATTCTTATTCCAACAAAGATACTATTCATATGAAAATGTATATTACAATGGAACCTCTATAACGAAGTCCTCGGTCTAACAAACTATTTTTTTTTACTCCAGTAATAGTAAAATATAAGGCAATATGAAAAAGAACCTCGATAAAAGTTAACAAACCTCGTTAGAATAAACATATTTTGCCAGTCCCTTGGCCCTTCATTATATCAAGGTTCCACTGTACTTAATTTTATTTATTTATTTTTCAAAAAGTGGGGAAGCCCCTTTGCCCTGCATGGGCCCTGCCCTAGCTTGGCTTAGGCTATATAATACCCCCAAAATAGACTATGCTAAATCAGGCAACAAAGAACAATAAAATTGCAGCCTTTAAACAGTATTACGGCCCTTGGCTTGTTTATTGTAATCACTGGTATGACAAAAAAATAATGGATTTGTATATTGCACACGGTACGTAAGACCTAAACTTGTCCTCCAGGTTCTTAGCTGGGGCCTCACATTTATCTTGTGATCAACAAGTGTGCAGATCAATTGTTACAGTAGGGTGGACAGTGCCTTTGTATGTGGTAAGGGGCCATGAAGCTTCCTCATTTATAGGAATAACATTAGTCTATCCCATATTAAAAGATACACCAAGGTTTTTGAAGTAGCAAGGCTGTGCTCTAAGAAAAATTGAAAGGAGCCCAGTGCTCCAGACCCGTGAAATCCTGGGTGCCCAGCACATGATTTCTATGAAAAAATTTCCTAGTTGCCCCGGAACAATAGTTAAGCACCACGGGCCAACTGGGTGCTGGTAGAGCACAACCTTGAGTAGTCAAACACAAAGCAGCAGTGATGAGCAGGGGCCATGAAACTATCTCATACATGTACATAACCCTCAGTTGCAGTAAATATTTCAGTGACCAAGCCTTGGTGATTATTCATTTTTAACTTGCAATCTGTCAGTCACATCACTTCAGTGATTCAGTGCATGAGTGCCCCTGAGTTGGAGTTTACATCTCAAATTATGATATACTATAATTATAATTATTATAAGTATTCAATGCGAGATTGCAAAACTTTTCGTTATTCACTCAAAAGAATAACAATACACAACATTCAAGATAGGATCACAATTTTATTTTAAAGACCACATCAGTAAATGGTAATAATTCTTGCTGTATTTTACAAAATTGCAAAAACAGTTTTTGCAATAAACTTGTGTGGGCTCTCTTGCTTTAGCTTGTGGTTTGAACTGACAATGTGTCTGTGCAGTTTTAATCAGGCTCTGAGTTTTGGGAAGACTAAAATTGAAAAAAGCATACCTTTTGTTTAGTGAGGGTTATGGCGACCAGAATGTTGGAAATACTAAGGAATTTACTGTATATTAAAATATCATACCATTCAGATTGCACCATGATCCTGATAGATTTTAATATTTTATAATAAAAATTTACAAATAGAGCTTTAAAGCTTTTTATAAAAGCTCAAAGGAATGTT